CTCAGCAGGGATCTCGCACTGCCATGGGACCCCCTCCCTCCTGCACAGGCTCTTCCCCATCACCTTTCACAAAAAAATCCACGTGGGCCTCAGCCTCTCCTCACACATCTACCTGGGCTGGGAGGTTTGTTTGTAAACTCAGCACACGCTTGAATTTCTCCTTTGTAAACTGAGTTGGGGTAAAGGCAGGGAGAGAAGTGAGCTCATGAGGCTGGGAACACCCCGGGGACAGCAGAAGTACATTTAACTACAAGATGTCAGATTCTTTTTTCATCTTCAATAAAACTCTCAACAGCTATAGAACATTTTTTCTGTGTTAATTTAATCATACAAATATTCATTTATACATTACGGAAAAAAAAAACTTTTATTTTTTTTTATTTTTACCCCCAATGTGCTATCATAGGACTTCTCCCAGACTCCATGAGGCAACACACCATCCTGGGCTACACATGCACTCCCCCCAGAGAGAATAGACAGGCTGCAGAACCACCCACTCACTCACACAAGGAAAAAAAAATAATAATAAAATTAATTAAACACAAGAGAAACCCAGAGACGGGACAGCGTGCATTTCCCAACCCTGCGGGCTCCGGCTGCTCAAACCCACGCAGCTCTGCCCTTCGGAGGGGCAGCTGCATCCTCCAGCCCTCGAGAACTGAGTATGACACCCCTGAGATGCAGGCAGGGGATTTCTCCCCTCCGTCTGCCTTTTTTTTTTTACCGGTTTGGGGTTGTTCCTGCGGAGCTCTGACCGTGCTCTGGCTTCCCTGGGCTGCCTGCACTGTCCCTGCTCGGGGGGTGACAGCTCCACATCCAAGGTGGCTCGTGCTCGACACATGGATCCGTCTGGAGAGCAGATATAGGGCAGTGTTTTTTCTTTCTGGAGGAGCAGGTGAGGAAGGAGGCTCTCCCCCTCCTCAGGGCAGGTGGGTGTCAGTCAGGCCAGAGCCGGCGCCTGCTCCGTCCCTGCCACCTACCAGTGGGTGCCGGCCCTGTCTCCCCCCAGTCAGGATCAGCGACCTCCCTGGGGTGATGTTTCCTCTGTACTGGTTCACCAGTCTCAACTCAGCCACGATTTCCTCCTATCCCTACCAGGCCACGTGTAACTCACCTGGCTCCGCTCACCTCGGCTGCCACACGCGCACCAGACTCTTGGCATTCAGCCCCCCCTGAAAATCCATACCATTTATTTCATGTATCTGATGCAAAGTCTCCGTGAGTTTGAATGCCTCGATCCTATGGAAACCACTGCAATCGCAGCGCCCTGAAGCCACCTGGAAGCAGTTTTGCTGAATATTTCAAACCCACCTCATTTAAAGCTGGAAACCTGACTGCAAGAGCAGTGTGAGGGCCAGCAGCACCACTAAGCTCCAAGAAAGGAGAGAAAACCGCCTTCAGCCCCAGTGAAACAGTTTTTACTAGAGGAAAAAACCTGGCAAGGTAGAGCAACCACCAAGCTAAAGGTTGTCCCGCTGTCACAGCAAGGGTCAGAACCCAACCTCCAACACCTCCGGAGCCCTGCACGGTCATTTCGGAGAGGTCACCCCACGATGAGAGCACTTAGCTCAGCTACCTGGGGGACGGCTGCGGGGTGAGCAGCGAGAGGATGCGGATTTCAGCAGCATCTCAGATCAGGCTCTGCCTCTCTTCACACCCTGGAGTCGGTGACCCTTGTCACGAGGCCACCACGGACTGAAATCACTCACGAGTGGATTCGGATCTGCGCAAAACAAGTGTGCCTCCTGAGTGGGAAAGCACAGGACTACGTGGGGTGCATGCGAGCTTGTTACAAGGAAGGGAGAAAACAGCCTTAGCAGGAGCAGCACAGGCGTGGCAGCCACTCTATGCAGGGGAAGAATTTGTGCCTGGGAGCAGGAAGCTGGAGCTGGGGCACCGAGGGCTCAAAGGGCTCCCAGGCGATAGGAGGCAGAGGTCGCAGCGCCAGCTGTACCATGCAGGCTCAGGTCTTGCTTCCCCACCCACCCAGCTGACAAAAGGAGCTCATAAAGATAAGGAATCACCTTGACATTCGGGCAAACTGCAGTCCCCAGTGTTTTAGATGCTTTCAGAAGCGGCAGCATTGCAGGAGATGCACTGGCCAGGCATGCACCCACGTCTTCAGAGCGTGGCACGCTGTTGGTGAGCTCCACCTGCTCCCACAAATCCACCACTGCAGCAATGCAGCCCGCTCCCTGGGCTGGATGCTACAACACAACTGAAGCTGGGCAGAAGGATGTTGCAGGACAAGAACCAGACTGCGATGGCACTACGCAGCGCCACCTTCCACGGCTGCATTCCTGAGCAGCTCCATCCGGATCCGTACCTCAAACAAGCTGCTGAAATAAACCCAGGTTTTCACCAAACCACACGTGCATGGGGCTGGCGATCCAAACCCCGCAGTGCCTCTCGCATACAGGTGGTTTCTCACATTATACTCATTTCTCCCAGCAAGTGCATTCTTATAGGGAGGCTCCAGGTAACAGCGACCCTTAATATCCAAACCTCAAGCACAGACAAACCTGTCAGCTATTTCCATACAATTAACAGCAAGCAGCCAGCGTGGGGCTACAGCATCCTAGCTTCTTCCTAAGCCCTCCACAGGATCCACCTGTACGCACTAATTGGTAGCTGCAAGGAGAACGAAGCCTCCCCTGAAAGCCAACCACGAAAACACAACCAGGAGGGAGCGACCAGCCTGAAGCCACACCGCACGCCTGCGCCCTGCTCCAAAGAGGAGAAAGGAGGCTGCACCAGAGATCTGGAAGAAGGTAGCGGGGTCTTTGCATATCATCGTATCTTTGGCAGTTCGTTCAAGCTTCTGCACAAGTCAGTGCCCCCTCAGCTCACCCCCCTTCAGGAGGATGTGAAGGCGACACGGAGCTTTAGGAATCCATGAGGCCATCTCCCTCCCCTCACCGCGGGCTTTCCAACCACTAACCACAGAAAAATGCACCAGAGGAGCAGCAGAACGACCTGCATCTGTGGAGGAACAACCCCTCCTCTAGAAACAAGCCCTGGAGAGCCCGGTTAGAAGGCGAGAGCCTCAACAAAGCTCCAAGCCAGGATGAGAAAGGCAACAACACAAGGCGACAGAGTGGAGTCCAGCAGCTGACGCTAACTCTTCCTCTACATTCAAAAATGCAAAGAACGAGCCTCGAAGCTAACACCTTATCACAGGAGAAATGGATTCAAACTTAAACGTGTGTGAGAGAGAGATGGGAGATTCAAAACTCTAAGGACAGGACTTGCAAAGCTTTGCAACTACCAGCACGTGAATTACAGCTACAGGAAAAGTTTCTTCTTGGCACGAGACCGATATACTTGCTTGGTTGCTCTAGGCACAGCTACTGTACATCAGAGTTAACAAAAAGGTATTCTTATAGGCTAACCACATAGCTCTGGAACTTTAATAAATCTGTTTCTTATTAACACGGGTGTGTATTTACGTGTACTTTGTGTACAAAGGGAAGGGGAACGAGCCCTCCACGCTATCCTAACCCAGTCCCAGAGTCTCTCCCTAATTGTGATGCTGAGACCTGGTCTCCAGCAGGGTTTCTAGCGACATGCAGGACAACTAACAGCAACACCCAAACCAAAAGGGAGAAAAAAAAAAAAAAAAAGAAAGAATTAAGATTAAAAAGGTGGTAACTATAAACAGAAGGTGATATTAAAAATGCAGAGCTGGGTGCAGACCCAACCTGTCATTAAAACACATCCAACAAAAACAAGTCACCGCACAAAACCCAGAAGATGCTAAGCAAATTCCCATTCGGTAACAAGCAAAACATGACAGTTCCATAAAAATGCACGCTGTCCCTTATTTAAAAAAAATATGAACAGGAAACAAACAGAAATTAAACATTTGCTCAAACTACAACCGCTCTGTAGGCAAAATATTTTTTTAAAGATGGCTTTTTTCATTTTCATTTTTAAATCTTCTTTTTAAGCTACCTAATTAAGTGTGAGAATGACTTCTAAAAAAAAAAAATAATCCATGGCGTTGGTATATTCTTTCTCATAGCATTAAACACCACTCCTGAAATTCAGCATTCACACATGCATACTTAGATTTTTTCCTCTGGAAACAGCTAGTCTTAAGTTACTGGGCTTTTGTTTTATTTTCTTCTTTATCCAGAACATGGAGGCAGAGAAGGGGGGTCCACGCTGTGTCTGTCTGCCACGTGGATCCCCCTCCCTTCCCCCAAAAGTCAGTTCTTTAAATTCTCTTCTTGCCGATACCCGTTTTGTGTGTTTGTGTTTTAAGACTGTCCGAAGGGATAAGGACCGTGGAAACCCTGAAAGAAAGTTGGAGACATAATCAATTTTAATTGGTAAGGAAAGAAAAGCGATCAGCGTACGCCTACAAATACCGACCAGCCCATCCCACACTGCTGAACCCAACGCAACCCCTTGCCCTCCAAAGCCACCTCTGCTGTCCAGCCTTGGGAAACGCTCACAAAACGCAGGGTTCGGAGCTTAGAGCTGTCCCCCAGGGGGAGATGCCAGGTGCTACCCACTTACCTCCTTCAGATGTTACTTTGCCAGGTTAAAACCAGGCAAAACATTTCTCAGGTGCTACTGGACCAAGAAACTTGGGGTATTTTCTACCCCAGAGCAAAAATTGCTTCTAGATGCCACAACACCTGCAAAGCCAGCGACTACGCTTTCACAGGAGTATTCTAAAGATTACAGCAAGCAGCTAAGAGGCCCTAACAGGTAGTAGAGGCTATTCAAGGAAAGCCAGGATTTTAAGTCCACATTCCCAGCGATGTATTTGCTCTCTCAGGATAACGTTATTCTATTCTTCGAACCAAGTGGCCAGTCCTTCATCACGCAGAACAAGGAGACCGACAGGCGGGTAAGGGATCTCCCAAGCCACAGAGCTGCTCGGTTTGTCACAATGCTGGAGATACAAACCACACAAAATCCCCCCGTAACACCCAAGGACATGCTCAGGTTAGAAGCGGGACGAGGGAGAGGAGCTCGCTGTACTTCATTGTCAGAGTCTCATTTTGTGCAGCCCAACTTCTTATGAGCATCCTGATGAGTTAGCCAAAAGCACAGACAGCACAAAGCCCTTCTCTGTCATTAAGACAGTAATGGCTTCAAGTTTTCACAATTTCACCTTTCGAAGGAAAAATCTCAAAAAAAAAATAAATCACACCAAACCCACCATCATTTCCTGCATGTCCTACTGCAGCTCCACAACAACCTCGCTGCATGAGCCATGAAATGAGTCTAACACAACTCACGTCAAGTGCCAACTGCACTAGCTCAAGCTGAATTGCAAAAGCCCAATTTCAAGAGCTCCGCTGTGTATCTGTGCTATCAAGGAAGCGCTACAAGGAGCTGATGATTTTGCTGCAGCTAGTGAGAAGTTAATTCTTTAGGATATATTGGATGGCAAAATAGAAGGCAATAGCAAAATGGAGCATCTCCCAACAGCTCTCAGAAGTCATCCAAGAGAGGAGCAAACAATTAAACAGGACATCTTGTGCACTGCGTGCAGAGCATGGAAAAGAAGATTGGGAGCTGGGAAATTACTGCTTGTAGCCAGAAACGTGTGCAGGTGATGGAAAACCAAGCACACAGCAGCCCTAGGAAGGTGCTGTACTCCCAGACTGGGAACCAAGCTCTTCGGGAGACAACACCCAATGGATTCCCCAACACTTCCACACAGAAAGCAGAAGTTTCCATCAGAAGACTGAGGCTGAGATATCCAACACTTAGAAAAAAATACTGTCATGAAACTGGGGGAAAGGCAAGAGCAGAAAGAAAACCTCTCAGGTTTTTTTCTGGGAAACCTCTCAGGAAAACCTTCTGGATCTTCAGGCACCGCTCAGGTCCTGCTTTCTGTAGCATCTCATTTAAAGCTACACAATTATGTTAATAATGGGTTAATTAAAAATACTGTTGTTGAAACAGTGGGAAGGCGAAGAGCAGAAGGGAAACCGTGCATTAAAGTACCATGAAGAGTCATGGGTGCATGTGCACACAGAAAATGATGAAGGATACAGAAGGAAAGTTATGCTAGGCACAAGATCCTAAATAGTCCCGCCTCAAAGGGGCTGAGCTGCTGCACCCAGTACTGCTCTGCAGACAAAAACCTGAATTTGTGGCTGATCACCTGCACTGACATTCACCACAATTTGCTGCATCTTTTAATCAGCTGCACAGAGGCTTTGTTTGCAGATCCGACTGGCAAAGCTCTCCCAAACCTCCCAGGGGTGCTCCGCGCACTGAGTGCTCCCAGCTGCCTGCTCCCTCTGCTGGGGGCTCCCCGCTCCGCAGCAAAACCTTTTTGGTGGCTCATTTGAGCCTGCCATAAACCAAGTCACCTGCAGCACCTCCCGACAAAGGGATTAAGGCAGTTAATGAGAGCACAGCCCAGAGCCCTGCACTGAAGTCAGACAGAACAGGTCATTAGTCCTCGTGTGCGCAGCCAGCCCATGCGAAGCGGCTGCTGGCCTCGTTCTCAGGGAACCCCCTGGATCTCCAGGTATTGTTTACTGCAGCACCTAATTTAAAGCTATACAATTATGCTAATAACGCCTTAATTAAAGTCAGAATTTAGCTCAGCTTTAGAGTCACGTTACCGAGTGCCCACAGCTCTGTGCCGCTTGCAGGCTGACACCTCCTGTGAGCTCCTCGCCCTGCTCCAGCAACTTCAAGAGCAGGATGCTCCCCATCTGCCTGAAGGTAGCTTCATGCAATGAAACTCACCAAAAAGGAAAAAAAAATCCTTGGTCTTGGGATTACCATAATGTAACTCTGCATACAAGGAGCTTTTCACCGCAGGTCATTTACCCCTGAGATTTATTAGTGCATATGAGAACTTACAAAACCCTGAAGGTTGCTTCTTGAAGACCAAGAGCGTGGGCTTGGTCTCACATCACACCTAACAGAGCTCCTGCATGGAAGAAAGGAACTTGTTTTAAACTAGCATCATCCGCAGGAAGCATACCACCTCAAGTTCTTCTGGATATTTACAGGGGAAAAAATAGTATTTTTTGTGAAATTAAATTTATGGATTCTAAAGGCTGTTCACTAAGCTGTGCTTTTGTGTTGTTTGTTAAATCATCAGGACTAGGGTAGGAAGAAACAGATTTCAGTTTAGTTCCTACCACATGTTGCTAGGTCATTTTATTCAGGTGGTTTTTATCCTTCCTTTTATCCATCCTTCAGCAAGAAACTCTTATCACCCCTCCCTCCCCCCAAAATAAGCACACTTCAATACTTTTTCCTCTTCTTCAGTAAGATGCAAGCTCTTCACGGAGCATTTGTTTCTTATTACATTTATTCAACACAGTTATAATAGTGTCTTGGTACCTAAAGACTTCAGTTACTGTTACAATGCAAATACCAACCTCCATTACAGGACACTTTTGAGAATAATTATCCCTTGTACGCAAGGTTTTACATCATAAAATGCAAAAATAATTCTGCATACACGTGCAGTTTTACCCCAGTTATTCCAGCTGAAGAACTACTCACACTATTTTGGTGAATTCGCTTCCATTCTGAAAATGAGATCACTGCTTTTATGAAAAGCTCAGCTGCAGCTTTGCAAATTCACTTTCAGTTCTTCTAGCATCTTCCCCACGAGTAATTGCTAACTGGCTACAAAAAGCATGCCGGCTATTCAGACAAATGCAGGAGAACAGAGGGCCGTGATTTTTTCAAGGAGAGGCCTGTACATGCTAATTTTTGTTATAAAGCATCAGGTTGATGTCAGTGTCTAGAAGGGAATTGAGAGGTTTTGGAAAGTTAAAGGGCTTTGTAAATGTGGAGGTCTATAAATGAAGACACCTGTGCTTGGGGACCAACCAAGCACAGTAAAGCCTCCACATTCACATCCACAGCATCTGGATGTGATTTGAGGGAACAGGAGCACGCCATCCCCTTCCTAAACACAGCTGTGGAGTAGTGGAGCATTTTGAGGTAACACCAAAAACGAAACCAAGCATAAGTGGATCTTTCATAAACCATCACAACACAGGCTTTCAAACAGCTATCTTTATTTCACCTTTGGGATTGAGTCAAGATGAAGAAGAGGTACACGAGGAGAGACAGGAGTTTGGTGCCCAGCTGCGGAGCAGTGCAGGAGGCTCCCAGCAGACACCGACAGCATCAGCCAGCGCTACACGTCCCTGGGCTGCTCCTGGGCACTGCTCCTCCAACCCACGCTCGGCTAACTTAGGAAAGCTCAACACAAGCAGAAGAACAAAGTATTTAGCACTTTTTTTTTCCTGTAATTCCATGCATGCTGTGCTAACATGGTGCAGCAGTTCAGACCCCCTCAGAGCTGCTGGAGATGCACGGAGCTGATGGAGCGCAGAGGGCTCAGGGATGTGAGCAAGCCACCATGCAGCACCTTGGTTTTTCTGACTTAACAGCAAGCTTTTAGTCCGCAGAGAGAAAAACAGGGAAACTGCTGGCCTGCAGTGGAGCTAAGTCAAGCTAAAAATCACATTATATGGCACTTCCCACAGTCCGAAGGCACGGGGACTGTTGGTTTTCATGGATGAGCTAGCATGCAGCATCCAAACATTAGCCTTCCACCACAAAAGCAAAGCAGCTCATGCACTGTCAGTTCAGCCTGCAGACGCTGTAGCAGTCTGGCTGTCAGAGGCTCGCTGCAGTAGTTTGGAGCCCGATGTTCTCCCACTTGCTCTGAACAAATTTAACCATGGGGTAACCAGCCCGGTGTAAAGCCCAGACACCAGAAGAGGAGCTTCTCCTCTACAGGGGGGTGTGCATTTCTGGGGCTCATTCCTTACCCACAAATACAGTTTGGTACCCAAACAGTTTCCAGTAGAGAAAATTCTGTCTGAAGTCTAGAGAGGTACTCCAGGAATAGGCCAGTTGGAGTGTCCTGGTCTGGGAGAAGCTTCCAGGAGCAGCAGCAACTTTTAAACCCAGAGAGGAGAGGCCAGTTACAGGCTGTAAGGACAGAGGGACATTGGGCTTCCCCTGCATGCAGGTTGCTGTCAAATAGCACAGATCGGAGTTCAGCTGCACACAGAATGAAGATGGGGAGTGTAAATACAGCAGGGTAAAAAAGGTGGTAAGAGTTTGACCCCAAATTCCAAAATGCTTCTATTATACGGGCTTTTAAGAGTATTGTGAGCAATGAGCAAACTGGATTATCCTCAGGCAAGTTGTAGAACATTTTTTGCTATGGCAATGACTCTGCAAATTGTTTTGTACAGGTGAATCCTTGCAGGTCAGAACTTCCCCGTGCAGTTTTCTGCATTACACAGCAAGCAGCAACACCTCAACTCACACGGGCAGGCAGCTAAATTCAGCTAGAGATTCAGACATCTATTTTCATATAGAAGTGACAAGTACGATGTGAGTGTCAGTACATGGCTATCCACCCCAGAGCTTTTTAGACATTTAAACTGTACGTTTCTTGCCTTCGTTAAGAAATTTAACTCTAATCCCCAGGCACTATAAGAACGCATCTTGTGCTTTTAGTGTAAAAGACTGTCACAAGAGAGCAGCAGTGACCTCGACAGTGTTGCTATGAGACAGGAGCGAGTAAATAGAAGGAGGCTATATTAGCCTCATCTCTCTTGAGAATACAGAGAGAAAGTGATTGCCAAAGAGGAGAATAAAATACCCATGCATGGGTATATCTGGACTCTAACACAAACTCATCCCTATCCCAAGATAAGCATCCCATCCCGCACATGTTTAACGCTAAGAACATGCAAAAACTCCCCAGGGAATGGATATACAACATGCTTTGAGCAATGCCCTGAACACAGACCCTGATCTACAGCCTTCCAGCAGTTTATTTCATAGGGTGAGGCAGGATGGCCTGAGGAAGGCATATACTACAGCAGGAACAAAGATCACAGTTTCAAGTGTATCACAGGTTTCATGCTTATCTGCTTATAGGCGATTTGGTGCCTTTTTTTCTCTAGGAAAGTTTGTTTCATTGAGCACAGCATCTGTACCACGTGCTCTGCAAAGCACTCTGGCCGTTTCCACGTGTGAAACATTGACATCCTCATCTCATCTGGCAGCAGATGGCACATCAGCAGCACCGAGATCCTGGCTCCACTGGGGAATTGCAGAGGACAAGTTACACCTGCTCAATTGCACCAGAGAGAGAACTTACACAGACAAGGTCTGGCAACTTCGAGGCTTTTAGCATGTTTTACAGCGGCAGACAGCAAGGAACAGCTAGTTTTATCTCAGAGATTTCATGGTCTCATGCAACCGTGTGGCTGGGGCCCTTCGCAGTCTCTCGGCAGAATGGAAGCCTCGGCAATGATGTGATAAATATTTAGGGGCTTATCCTCCTTTTAAAGGCAGGACAGAGGCCTTAACTGAGCTTTAACCATCCCCTCTGCTGCATCTCACCAAATGGTGTGTTAAATATGACTAGGGATTCACCCCACTAACTGGGTGCATGAAAAATATTAGATGTTCTGCCCAATATAAGTACAATCCAGATATCCTATATCCAGGTATCTACACTACCAACCCCCAGTGCTCTTTGTCTGCTCCTAGAACTTAAAATAAGCCTTCCACGTCAATGTTCAATCAGAAGACAAGAGAATGTAGTAGCTTTCTTTCACCCTCCACAAGCAGCAGAGTACAGGTCCAGTCCCCAGGGAGGAGGAGGAGATGGGAGGCTGAAGTATTGCTAAGATTACCAGCAGGTGCCTGACCACCACCTGCTGACCATGCAGTTTAATACTGACACCACCCCCATCATGCCCTTTTCCATTTAATCTGAGCCCCGGCTGGGGATCCCACTTACACATTACCTATTTTTTTAGGAAAAAATGTTCTCCAGAAGGATTTCCAGCTTGCAGGAAGAAGGGCTAAACCAGGAAAGGCAAAGCTTGTTCACCTGACGGTTTTAAGTGAGACCAAGTATTTAGGATGCCAAACCTACAAAAATTGTTCACTGCAGAAAGAGCATCGCACCACAGGGATGGTACCAACGTGAGCAACAATGCCAGAATGCTTCCTGCCCTGCATGGAAAGGGCACGGCTAGACGGAGGTCTCTGATCCTCACACCTACCTCAGGAACGGCTCTCAAAGCAACAGCGAACTGGTGTGATGTCAGACAGAAACAGCACGTCAGAAATAAAAACCTCAACAGATCTATAAACTTTCTACGCAGCCCATCCTGTCTCCAAGTTACCCTTCCTAAAAAAAAAAAAAAAGCAAGGAGCAAGATTTCTGCTTTTATATCAAATCTACCTCAAAACCCCCCATGAATATTCTGAAAATACTAAAAGGAATAAAAAGAGAAAGAAGGCCCTACCTCCAAGGTTAGGTTATAACAACTCATAGGGGTAACACTCACAAACTTTGGGTTACTAGCCTGACCATATTTCTTAAATTTATCAAGAATATCCCTGGCACTGTTTGTCTCCTTTTTGGCATTTCTTCTCCACAGAACAGCTGGCACAGGCCATGCTCTCTGCACCTCCAGCAGGTACACGTTTCTTACACGTATGCTCCCCCTAAAAAAAAAAAAAAAAAAAAAAAAGCAAAAAAGCCAAAATCTGCTACTCAGCCAGGAGCCCCTGCTGATACACCGGACCTCTTGTTGCCCGCACCACTCTCATTTCAGTAGGGAGGGCGAGGAATTTTCCACAGGGGAGACCTAGTGAAGAAATGAAGGCCACGCTGCTGCCAAAACCCCACATCCAGAATTTCTGTGCAGGAACTTTCTCGGAAGCGCAGCTCTGAGCAGTGCCCACCTGCAAGTGCAAACAAACGATGAAGCAATTGCTAAGCCTGCGCTCGGAGAAAGAGGGCAAAGGGGAAAAAATAAAGCTAACCCAGCCCTAAAGCTGACCACTGAAAGTGGAAATGAGTTTTCTCACCTAAATTAAAGCCTAGTGTTAAGCTGTGAAAGGCTTAGCTAATTCCATCAACTCAGAGCTATACTTAGCAGCTGATTTTTACTCTTCACTGACTGATGCACGAGCAGAGCTGTCCCCACCCTTCGCTGGGATACTACAACCCCCAACGGACCTGAGATGGAATTTATGCAGAGATGTGTCAGCACATAGGTGGCCTCTGCCAAGTCAGAGGATGGTCTGTCTCTCCAGCAAACACCAGAATGAAAGCAGGCACTGCTATCCACCAAGAAACCATCAAACAGCAGTGACTTTCGGTCACTGTTAACCCAGACTGCATTTGAACTGATAGGTGAAAGGCTTTATTTTTTTATTCATTGCTTAAGCCATCCATTTCATGTTTAATGAGCAAGAATCTTGAAGCAGGAACCAATACAGCTTATAAAAAATTATCTTTGGGGTGCAAAACACAAAATGGGTGATTGGTAGTCTGTCAAACAGTTATTCCCAAGCATGCCAGCAGTTAAAAAAAAAAAAAAAAAAGCATAGCCCTGGTGCAAAGTAGGCCACTAAAATATGATCCACTGGTAGAGGACAGGCAGTTCATCCAGTTAGGAACTAAAGTGCTGTAGGTGAACTAATATTAGGGCTTTATTAAGTCATTCAGCAACCAAGTGTTATTGTCCTACACAGCCTGCTTAAAGTACAGTAAAGCATTTTTTAAAGGATTTTAAAAATCAAACTAGTTTGACATACGACAATACACACCTACACATACTGGCTGCATTAACAGGTGGATTCTGAATTGTAAATAATCCTGCTATTCATTTGTCACACACAAGCAAATAAAAACAGTCAAAATATCACTCAGACTCTTATAGCATCCACCAAGCAAGCTTTTGAGAGAGAGAGATTTAAAGTAAAGATAATTTAAAAGTCACCTACAATTATAAACAGGACAAGGACACAGACAGGAATAGTCCTCTGACTGACCATTCCTGACAGATAGCTTCTGGGATCAAAATGGTGAGCTCTGTAGTCACTCCACACCAGTTAAAAAAAAAAGTTATCTGGTTAATCTTAGGTTTAGGGTGTGGTCATTTCTTTTTTTTAATTCTGTAAAAACTTAGGAGCACATCTTGAGAGATATTTTGACTTATCTGCATATGCAGCTGGAGTAGGCCCCAGCCACTAATAGTTACAGCACCCAGACAAGATTATATAAACTTTAAGAAGGACTTGAAGCAAAAACAAAAAAAAAAAAAAGGTGGATCTGGTAGAGTCTATCAGAGGCAAAAGTATTTTAATATAATATGAGGAGTTGGCAGAGTCAGACAGTCAAATTCAAAACCTTCCTTAGCAGGTCTGGCAGAAGCAGAAGGGAAGGGCTTTGCAGTTTGTAACGAAGAACTATTACATACACCAGTCTCATCACCTACCCATTCTCCTGTTCGCCCAGGGCACCTACCTTACTGTATGTCACTACCGACAAGTTGTTCGAGTGACTGCTGGGGGAGAGATTTACAGAGTTTTGTGACAGTCCATTCTGATCTTGTTCGATTTGGTCAGGAGCAGGCCCCCACGTGTTTTTGCTGATTGTGCCTAGCTCGGAACCCCCAGGGTCTTTTAGGTTGTTTTCATCTGGTTGCCTGTTCTTCTGCGGAGAGGCGAACGGGTTAAAGTTTCCTTCTACCTTGCGATGCGGTTGCGTGTTGAACTCTGTTTCAAAGGATGACAGCTGCTGTGTTACCCCTAGAAGTCCTCCAACTTCCACGCTGAGGATCACCCAGATGACATCTGTGGAAAATGAAAGACACGTGGGTCATCAATAGATGGAGTTTATGGAGAGGTGGGAAAAAGGAGAAAGTATGAACTCATTTCTTTACAATAGCAAAAAAAATGATTGTTTATAACACATTTTTATAAAGCATCAGAAGTACTGGGTAGAAATGAATAAAGTCCAACCCTTCAAGGGAATCAGGTAAGTTTTACTCTTACTGAACTTGGAGGAACCAGGTAAGAACATATAAAAAACAAGCTGACACGATGACTTGAAACTCCATACTTCAGATTACCAATATGATGCACTGAAAAAGAAAACCTGAAGTGACTTTAACCAAGGCTATGCAACAAGTCTGAAATGAGAGCCAGGCGATATCACTCCCAGTCTCCTGCTCTGACGACAAAGAAAAGGTCATGGGTTTTGGTTAGCATTAAAAGGTTTGGCTCTGAAAAAAAAAACAACTTGGAAGGTTATTAGGTTTATGACAATTCACACTAAAATATCTGTGTTTCAGTTCCAAAATATCCATGGTAGGTAGACAAGATGCACAGACTGGTAGGCTATTACACAAATTTGCAAACAACTGGCTAAAATATATATGTGTGTGTGTTTACAGTTCTTACATCACATGTGTCTTTTGTACATAGATAAGATTGTTTTTTCTACTTACCATTTCATTTACACTTCATGCAAACACTGCGGCATATTTACACAAATACATTGCTTGGGACCTATCCAAATTCAGTCCTACTGCTTTTTTTTTCCCCCGCCCCTCCATTAAATGTGCTCCAGTTTTGTTTTGCTGCACAGAGAGGGAAAATTGAAAAGAACAGCAGCAATTCCTTATCTCATCTCAGCAGATCTAATAACAGCACCTCACGTCACATGGGATTCGGGTTCCAGTTTTTCTGCAGCGTTGACCTACAAGGGGCTCTTTTGTGCTGGCTGGGGGCAGGATGCAGCAGCTACCCTCGCTGCGCAGCTTTACACCACCACTGCTTCACGGAGCAGCCTTCATTCGCCGGAGCTCTCCTTCCAGCCCTTCACCAGGTTGAATGTCGCTCATTAGCTTGCATTCTGTGACCCAATTTACCACAAGTGGGATTCCACCTTACAAAACCACGGCTGTTTAAGGACCCCAGCACCGTGCCAGAGCTGTGCACCGACACCAGGCAACCCCCAGCTGGACCTGAGCTGTGGGAGATAACAAGCACCAGGGATTCAACCTACCACGGGGAAGGGCATCTTTGATTCAAAGCTCAGTTGCCAATTTCAATTTGCAGGTAGTTTTCCTTCAAAAGGTGTAACTTGAGCAAGTTTAGTAAGCCCTTAGCCTGCTTCTTTGTCAGTGTGTAGGAAAACCTTGGATTAATAACCGCACAGGCCCGCAGCAGGCAATGCAAGTTGAACAGGCCTTTCAACCTAATTTATGCACACGTTTCAGGGACAAGTTACATCCACTTTCAACACAGAAGAGTCTTACACTCGCTGACAATTCTGCCAAAAAAACAGAGCAAAGAGTTATTTTTGACTCCGAGTGCTAACATCTCTCACTCAAACCCGGGCACTTGGGATACGCCCAACTGCCAAAACAGGCACAAAGATGTTCTCAGTATAAACTACAGCTGGCTAAAAATCACTAAATGGCTCCGAATGAATGAAGATGTTGGTGGCTTAGCCTGAGGCACCATGCAAAATATCCCAAAGTGATTTTTAAATACAGAAAAGTGGTTCCCAGCAGATGCACCAAGTTTAACTATTGAAACCTGGGCCTTTACTAAGTGTCAGATGGGGTTTTCACCACTTCGGTTTTATGCCTGTATGTAGTTCATGATGTTCAGCACTGGAAAACTTGGAACAAATTCCAAGAGGGAAAGAGTTTCAAGGAGAACTGTGCAAGCCTCTTTGTTTTTAAGAGCTCTGTGATCTGCAATTTGTTCCAGTGTTTAGAAAACAGTTCTGTGCTGACCAAGACAACAAAGCAGCTCACTCGATGTTTTCTGTTTTCTATATTTAGCCTCAGAGCCAGCAGACCTCTACCCTCCTCCTGCATTTAGTCAAAGCTTGCCGAAGGCCTACCTGCAGCGAGGAGCACTGGCCCCCAGATTTGTGGAGTAGAACATTTACAAAATGGAAACCAAGGGTTATCAGACCACAGCTGCCTGGTTCTTACATCTTTGTACAGTGAGGTTTCACGTCAACAGCCATTACAATAAATCACACAAATACATTTAGGGATACATGATTTGGTTATCAGGAGGGTGTCCAACAAGGGGCCAGGAGCATCCATGCTGTTTACAACGGGAATATCATGAAGAAGAGCTTGAAGTGCCAGAAAAGGGATTGCTCACCTCCGTAATAGAGTCCTGTGGCAGTGCACATTCGCCACTGTCCCTGATACATTCCTGCTGTGCTGGGGCTGCACATCTGAACACTGACATCTGCAATCTCCTGGGGCTCCAGGGACCTGACCATCACCATGTTTACGTGGCCAAACTGGTCTCCCCCAACATACTTCAGGCAAACCCCTGGGGGCCAGGCCTCCGTCCCTGGGATCAAGCAGAAGAAAAAATTAGTGACAGTGCACCAGGAAAAGTCATGCGTGTTTGTATGAGACTGGATAAAACACACTCATCAAAACAGTTGTGCAATTGTTGAACAGTCAAAGGAATACCGAGATACACGCAGCATTGTCAGCAACTGATAGAGGAGAACACAGTTTTCAGACAAGGCATAACTGGTCTGCTTTGTGACCAGCAGGAAAACTCATATTTCTTTTGAAATAATCTCTAGTTCTACACACAGCAAGAACCTCAAAGTCTGTGTAACAGCTGAAAAGGCAAAAAAAAAATCAACAGAACTGAAATTCATGTGTATTTTTCAAATGCCATCGCCAAAGAGGTCAGACCTGGTTTTACTTCTCCTCATTTCTGCCTCACTACACGCAGCTCCTGAGCCTTGCAACGTCAAAACACGCGTTATTAACCTAAAGTGCTGGAAACCTTTTTTTTCAAATAAGAATTCCCTTTTCAGTCCGTTAGTCTCAAGAGGAACAAAAACTTCAAATTACAATTGAAGAGCTGGTACTGCTTTCTAAACGGTATTATTCCCCTCCCTGCACCAACCCTTCTCTCAGCCTTGCGCAATGGTGGAGAGGACTGTGAACACGATTTCTTTGTGAAGATCAATGTTTAGACTGCAGACACTGGGCCTGACCGTGCGACCTGGCAATCTGCAGAGATACAGAAAACAGTCACTGCATGCAAACACAGCCATCTCCGCCAAAGATAACAAGTTCTGGGGCAGACAAAAAGTAACGTGCTTCCAAGACTCACACACAAAAAAAAAAATCAGCTTAGAATTGGCTTTTGCTTCTCCTCCAGTAATGTGGCGGGCCTGAGCCAATGACTTTGAGAATACCTTCTGCTTGGCTGAGGCTGAAGGGAACAGCCAAGGGAAGCCTGATGCACCAAGAAGCTTGGAAGCACTCGAGGCGAGAACAGTGGCTGCTGATCTGACCTCAGGCTACCTCGAGGAGCATCCCCTGCAGCAGCTCGCCTGCTAATTCAATCCCTGCGGATGCCTCGGTGAAGACATGGCAGGGACTGGTTTTCTACTCAAGTCCTCATTCGTGGACCTCTCCATCTCACAGGGAAATCACAACACGAGCAAAGAACACCGGACATTCAGTCAGGGACATACTGCTCCGGCTGGAAACGCTGCTGAGATCGGGAGGTCTTTGAAAGAGGAGCCAAGTGACGAGCTGACCTCAGGCTGGTGTGGGGGAGCTGACCACGAAGCCTCATCTGAAAAGGCTGGCAGCCCAGCAACAGGGTTTAGTTTAAATAATTGATGTGATTTTTATCAGGTTTAATGGCTTTAGGCTTGCAAGGTGCCTAGAATGCTGCAACTGATAAGCCCCATAAAATGAAATGATGATTATGTCATTCTATTTCGGTACACTCATCTCGCGGGAGATGATAAATTGTAGTAACTGTCCTGCAGAGCCAGCAGCAGCTGGGGGTAGAGTGGGAAGAGGAAATAAGTCTTAAATCCTGCTGCTCCTTCAGCACTGCTCTCACCACACAAACTGATCTTTTGGCCAAGCACCGTCCTGGAAGGTATCAGAGCAGGGTATTAGTTTTTTAATAACACAAAATAACCTGGCTGAACCCAGCTTTACTGCTTAAAACCGACAATCTCCCAGAGCCCTGCTTGTCACACATGTCAGCCACCAAGCACCTCCGTGACACATGCCTCAGGTATTTCTTGTTCTAGGACCACATTCATTTAATCAAGGGTTCCTGTAGAGTTGTTAAAAACCTTGGCTTTACTTCAGTTACCTACCAAACAAGCAGATATTATCTGGAAACACTACAGTCCTTTGATATTATATCTTAATTAAACCTTAAAATAGGTATAAAATGCTGTGGTTCTGCTTAAACTTCAGTCATAACACAGTACGTGAAGGCATATTTAACTAAAACATGCCCCAACAGCATGATTTTAACAAGAGTTGGCCTCCAGCACCAGTATTAGAGCACAGATGTACTTCTCAAGAAGTCAGGCTTTAACCCACACAGAAGCCAAAACAAATTTTGGCCTTGCCAGGAGCTCAGGAGTCAAGATTAACTGTAACTACCCTTCCTCATTTCAGCAGGCCCAGGGATTTCAGAAGGTCAAACGTACCAAGAACAATGAAACACTGCTTAAACGAGGATGTTAAATTAGGGCTGGATTTACATGCAGGAAAGAGTGCATCAGGAAGGAATCTGAAAGGAGCCAGAAAGGGGGTGTAGTCATAACACACGCAAATACCAGGAGTGGAGAAACTAGATCCATCAAACCTACTACATAAGATTTGAGACAGTTATTAAAAAATTGCCAATTTTGAACATTACAGGAGTTTAAGCAAGCTATAGTGCAACAGCATTAGTGAAACAGAAAAAAGTAAATGGCAATAATTAGGGCCTTTCTCTAGAATATAGTGTTTGTATGTTAGTGTCCTTACCTCTGGTATCCTGATGAAATACTTAGATTTTTACTAGTGTTTTAGTCTTTGTTGTACTACGATATTTAGCACAAATGTGTACAGCACTCAAGCACTGCAGCTATTTACTAGTTCAAGCACTAACCCAGCCTGTACGTTACTCATGATGATTCATGGCATTATACCTCGTTGTGCTATCATGCTTCTTCACAGAAGTACAAGCAGGTCAATTAAATTCAGGCACAGGTTAAACATTAATGCAACATCCTGTCATTGCAACAGTCAAAGACAAGGTATTCCCCTTTGCATCCTTGGATCTCATTTCTCTCTGACTACATCCCAACAGATTAAGCACTGGGGATGCATTCTGCCTGGTCTCACTTCCTGGATTTCGGTCCCTGCTTTGACTTATCTCACCCTGGAATGTGGCATCGCCAGCCCTGCATCCTCCTAACGCATGAAAAAGCAATTTGGTCAAAAGGGTACTGAAAAGTAAAAGGTACCTGCCACATTCCCCTTGCACAGCCACCTCTTCTCAGGTTAGATCTCTGCCTCCACAGAGAACACATCTCTACCAAGAGCCCAACCAAGTGACAGTGACAATGAGAAACAAGGGGGCAATGCAGTGTAGTGGTACTATACACAGGCTGGTCACGAGCTAAAAGGCTTTGGGACTTAATGGGATCTCTTCACCAGCTCAAAAACATGTTCCATTTGTTTAAGTGATCATAAACAAAGACTAGCTAAGGATTCTTAATCTACTCTCAGATTTAACTACTGCCAGCAAGAAAACAAAACGAAAACAAACACGTATTTTGTTTTCTATTTACATGCCTCTTCCTACAGCAGTTCCCTAGAGCTTTTGCTTATGTGGTGGCAGGAAGAACAAGACTGCAGCACTGACCAAGCTGCACAATGAGCCACGTGTTTGTGCTGACATGAGAAGGGATACGCACAGGTACTGGAGGTACCTCCTCCAGTAACGGGATGGCTCTGGTCCGAGTGAGGCGCGCACGGACCTCCTGCCTTGAGCTGCAGCTCCTCCATGAGATCTGCCACCGTGTCACCTCATCCCCTAATACACTGTCACCTCATCCCCTAATGCACGTGACACGGGCTTTGCTGCAGTCCGAGGGACTTACCTGTGTTCTGTATCCTCCATGTTTTTGTAAACTGGGTGTCAGGAGGGATGGACTCTCCTTCCCCAATGGTGACATCTTCAACAAAGGACATGGAGGGTACGTTGATATTTGGGCTCTCAAAGTCATAATAGGCTCCGATGGCGGCTTGTAGGTTCCTAGAAAGCAAAAAGCAGATTACAGCCTTAAGTACACGGGTGAGCCGGGTCCTTTTCAGAGGTCCACGTGGGTCAGCCTAAACAGTAAAAATATTATCCCGATTAGATGAACTCTGCCACTCACATTATCCTAAAGCCTCCATCTTTATCATATATGGATTCTGCAAGATAACAGAGCTCAAAATATAGCTTTTTACCTTCTAAAGACACTACGTTAGATCACTTTGCTATTTCTTTTCACTGGAAATCAGGGAACTCAGTCTTTTAGGGCTCCACCCTATGGAACTCGACAACAACTTGGAGGGACAGCGGGTGAGTGCTGGGCAGCAGTGTGTGGACAGCTCTTTATACCTGCCTCATTTCTACAGCTAATTTCAAGAGAATTCAACTTCGTTTTATTTTGGCACAAAAGATTCAGAGGAGCGTAAGATAAGCAAAACATAAAGCACACTGCTGATAACTGAAGGCTAAAGGGCACCAGCAACTACGGGCAATAACTCAAGCCCTGCTGCTTGTGAAACGCAGTCGTGTGAGCCACGAGCACTCCCCGACTACTTATTAATCATCAGGTGCCTGCTCAGCTCTGGATCGTCACAGCTCAGAGGAACTTACAAACCGTCCAGGACGAACAAACATTCTTACTGATCCCAAACAAGTGGCAGTGGAAGGCTGTGATATATTACGGACACGCAGAAAGCCACAAGTGCTATTGATTCATGGTCACGGCGTAGCTGGAAACTCGTAGGGTAATTAATTTGAAAAGAGGAGCAGTCAAACAGGAAGAGGATTCATGAGGCTGAGCTGCCATTCCACGATATACTATTATGTTATTATGTAAGTGTTGTGGCAAATCATGTAATTCCTCTGTTTACGCATGGCTGCGGGGTTGTGGCCCTCATTTACATGCGGTGAGTAGGTGCTGTGAGAATGGGGATGAGCAAAATCGCACCGAAAGCACTGGGCATAACAGCTGCTTTGTGATCACACAGAGCTATTTTGCTTTTTTAAGCAAGACAAAACAAATCAAGAACCAGGGATCGCCACCTAGAGCAGAAACCCTACAGAAGGGTGGTCAGAAGCTGTGCGGTGCGGTGATTTATGGAGGGTAAGCATTGTTTGGTGGAGTGTCATGTGTCCAACCCCCAGCCAGAAAGCCAAGGTGAAAGCGGGAGAAACATTTGCAGCATGACCCTGAGAAAGAGCAAACAGAGGGCTCCGGGGGCTGCTTGCCAGCTGGAAAGGGACTCGAAACGGTGAGCAAAGGAACTGCCTCCTGCTCGAGTCCTACAGCGCTCGAGGGAAAAAAGAAAATCTGACATTGTGTAAAACCAAAACCACCTGGAAGAGAAGCGGCACTGACTTCTCACACAGAGCACCCCAAAGCAGCAGCTAACGGCACCAGAGCTTGGGTCAGAGGGGGACAATCAGATCTGAGAGCCACCCACACCAGGGGGGCACCTGAACAGCAGATGCACCAGTCCCCGGAGCCACCAGAAGATGATGCCACTGCCAGCTGACATCCTGACATCTCCCACAGCTCAACCAAGGCACGAGGTGGCCCCGGAGGGGCGCTCTGCCCGGCACAGCAAACCCTACAAACCCCACACCAGAGCTTTTGCTGCTAACACACCGACAGGGCTGGGCACCACGGGGCAACAGACGAGCCTCCCGGCAGGACTCCCACATTTAGAGCGCTGAATTTCGGACCAGAAGCCATTATTCAGCTCGAGACGTTTCCCACTTCGGCGTGTCGGGGCTATATTTAATACAGGCAGCTCGGGTGAATGCTGCAGGAAGGGTGCGTGTCACGTTCGCCAATAACCGGAGACAAACGCTCTGCTTTACGTCAGCAGCCGCCTGTTGCTTATACACGGCACGAGATTTACATAACTTGCAGCAGGGCCGTGCCAAGAGCCTCCTGCTCGCCCAACCAGCTAACACCACGAGCTGCAGCTCGGTTTTCACGACAATTTCCTCCAGTGTTACAGCGATCCGAGGCAAAAGGCTTTGTGAGAGCTACAAAAGACAGCGACGCAGCTCTTTCTCCTCCTAATCCACTGCTGCACAAACCCATTTCCAGACGTCCGGCACCGTCCTTGCGTGCTACGACTGTGGGATCAGGAGTAACAACATTTTATTGGCATTAAGAGAAAACAGCAGTTCCACGGGGGAGATTTCTTCTGTAATTCTCTGCAAGGCAGCCTGCGCTGTTTTTGTTTGCTTGGCTGTAAACCCGCTCCGAAAGGTAGTGGGCTATTTGTGCACACAGGCTGCCTGCCAGCTCCCTTCCCCTCCCTGGCTCATATTTCATTGCTTGCTTTGCCATTGGGAAACGGCTCCAGCCCTCCGCAGCCTTTGGTTAAAAACTAACCGAAGAAAAGCACGTGGCAAACAAACAGATTCGCCACCTTTCTGCCATCGGGCACCCCAAAGCCACCCTCCTGCCCCCGTCCCGGTCACCACTGCAGGTTTTAGTCGGGGTCAGCACCCGCGCGTGCTTTGATGCCCCCCGGCCTTCCCCCTAGGGAATTAAAAGAAGCTTCCAGAAACCAAAGAGAAATTGAAAGTAGCAAGAGCCAAAGTCAGGATGACAAAGCAAATCTGCCCCGTGCCGGAGTCCTTTGACACAGCCGACCCGAGGAGATAGGCGCCGAGCGGCTGCAGAGATCCCCGCAGCGCTCACACTGCGGGCACAGCGAGCAGCACAGCCCCGCTGCCTTCATCTGGGCTCTTCCCAAGGGACGCTGCCCCTCGCTACCTACCCCCAGACAGAGCTGGGTGTGGGTGTGAAGGCAGCCCCGGGTATGGGTGTGAAGGCAGCCCCCTGCTCAGGGCAGCAGGTACCGCCTGCAGAGGGTCGCAGCAAGCTGCAGTGCGGTGATTTGCACCTCGGGGACCGAGCACAAGTGCCCCCTCTGCCTCCTTCCTTCCACTCAATGCACCAGAGCGGCAGATTTTAATCAGGAAAGGCGAGCACCTTTCCTTATTCCTGTATCCAGACCCTGAAATTCGCCTGCGTGCATCCACTGCTGTTATTATTATGTCTTTACCCTCGTGCCCAGATGGAAACGCAGACACCTGGGGACAGGAACGTGGAGCCAAGCCCCCGAGAGGAAGGGGTGAGAGGAAGGGGTTATCGGCTGCAGGCTTCCCGTGCACACCCGCGCCTGCCCCGTCTCCCCCCGAGGTGTGACACCCACCACGCTGCCCCTCCGCATGAGCTAAATTCCTATTATAAACCAGACAGCTCCTGAGCTGTAAGATGAGCACGCCAAGCCCAGCCGGTGTAATTTACGTGACTGATCTATCCTAATTACAGGGACAGCCGCGCTGCTGCCTCTGTCTCAGGACAGCCCTCCAGGTGCCAGGCGCTCGGTGCCGAAATGAAGCAATTTTTCCCCTTTCAGGGCAGCAGCAGCGCGGAGCTGGGCGCACAGAGCAGGTCCCACGGGATCCAGCCACACGAGGTGTGCCGACCACAGCCACGTCCAGTTCCAGTCCAAAAAGGTTTTGGAGAGGGAGGGCAGAAGGCAGCAGATAAGGATTGTAGCTGTGTGTATCAGACCCCTTCTAACTACGGGGATCCCGCTCCTTCCTCCCCAAAGGCATCCCGATTTACCCATCCGGTGTTTTCCCAGCAAAGTGCTGCCCCCAGAAGCAGAGCCCGTCCCTTTCCAAGTCCATTCCTCTGCTCTGCCGCTTTGTTTCAAGCCTCAGGAGCTAAATTACACCAGCAAAGTTAAAACCTCCTCTGCTAATAGCTCTGGAGATGTCCCTTAACAACTCTTAAGTGTTTGCAAAGAGGTGGTTTATCTTGAGCCATTCTTTCCCTTCCCGGGTTTTTTCCAGACAGCCTTTTGTTATGTTAAACCAATATATTTAGACAGTAATTACTCCCAATTAACTAGGTCACCGTGCAGCATTCACAAATGAAAGAAACTCTTCCCAATCGATTCACAAAGCAGAGGGCTCCTCTTCCAACCCAGCCCCGGCACACACAAGCAGCAGCACCCGGGTAACTGGCCGTGTCTCGGTGGTGGTGTGGTGTTTTAAAATTGAATTCTTGGGTATGAGAATGAAGAAACCGAGGTACTGAGGCTTACTCACCCCTGCCTTCTGCAGAAAGCACATGCACAGCACCTCGTCCTCCTGTTACCAAGAAAAGGCTCAGCTCTTGCCACACATCACCAGCATGCCTCCGTGGGCGTCTTGGGAGGCAACAAGCAGGTCATTGCAGCACGCAGGGCAAGGGATGGCAGGAGTGCTGCCAAACACACCCAGAACAGGCAGAGAAAGTGAGCTGGGAGAATCCTGCACCACCCGGTACCTGCAACCTCCTGCACCTCTTCCACAACACGCACGGATTGCATTTTGGTTTTGTTTTCCATCCAGCAGCTTCACAGTTCTGAACTACAGGGGAAAAAATCCCTCGCAGCCCGCAGGCTGACTCTCTGAAGGTCGTCACGGACACGGGAATTCCACCCCTAAGTACCACTTTCATCAGAAAGCAACAACTTCAGAATTAAAACTTCAACTGTTACGGGAACCTACAAGTTCTCATTTCCCATAAAATTCTTCGATGAATCCAAATGACCACAAGGCAGCCACTCCAGCTCAGAAAGCAGCCGGCAGTTTGTCCCTATCAGCTCTTGCCCTCTCCTACCACCCTATTAGGAGCTCACGGTGAGACTCCCAGCAGCAACCCTCCTGAGCTGCCAGGAGAAACAAAGGCAATCAGCGCAACGCCTTCGACTCCGAATTTCATGCAGGACTGCAGCCCTTGTATCATACAAGGACAGCGAGCTGAGGACAATGATTAAGTCAAGTAGAAAGCTCTCTGACAAATGGACTCTGTCACGGCGTTGCGCAGAGCAGCTGTGCTGAAGCGAGTGCCAGGTTGTGTTTCTCTCCCTCCCAGGGGCTGAGCACAGAAGTGCCCCACGCCTGGTGCCCGAGCGTGGCGCGATCTCAGCACCCACAGGCAGCTCTTGGCACGGGAA